TTGTAATGTCTCCCATTTCATTTCTTATTTGGGTTATTTGTGTCCTCTCCTGTTTTTCTTTTGTCAGTCTGGCCAGTGGTTTGTCGATTTTGTTGATTCGGGAAAGATCTATTCTTAATGTCAGATTTTAAAAAAAGAAATTAAGGTGGAAGTGCATTGTGTTGGCAAGTAGAAAATTATCAAAGTGGAAAAAATATATAGCTTATATTTATATCTGAAACATGCTTGTTATAAACATTTATAGCTTTACAAAAACATGAGAAGATGTAGCATAGTGGTTAAAAGCATGAGCTTCAGAATTAGACCTGAGTTCAAATCTTATTTCTGCTATTTATTTGATGTGTAAAATCATTTTGTCTCTATTTCTTAGTTTCCTCATCAGAAAAATGAGAAGAATAATAGCTTATACCTCATAAGGTTGTTGTGAGGAGTAAACATGACACGGCCTACCAGAAGCTAAATGCCTAGTTGCTGGTTTACTCTCAGATTATCCAAAGCATGGAAAAAAATATACCTTCTAAAAAAACTTTCTAAACTCATACAAAGGATAATCTAACACAGTGTGAGGGCATGGGTTTTGTTAATATTCACATCAGTTACTTTTGAGAACATATACAAATACTTGATGGAGGGGAGCATTAACAACGATTACGGAAGGAGAAGGTGGTATCAAATATTTACTCTGTGCCTAAAACCATTCTAAGTGCTTTAAACACATTATGCCATTAAAGCCTCTTAAAAATCTTACGGGGTATATATTAGTATCCCCTCTTCACAGATGAGAAAACGGAAGTTTAAGGATATTTAATAACTTGTCTGATGTTAAACAGCTGGAAAGTAGGCATTTAAATGTTGAATAAATGAGTAAATAAATTGTCATTCCTTCAATAGCTATGTTAAACAGCTGGAAAGTAGGCATTTAAATGTTGAATAAATGAGTAAATAAATTGTCATTCCTTCAATAGCTATGAAAAATGTCCATGCAATATACACATTCTCAAGGCTTGAACAAATAATTTAAAACACCTTGTGGACATGAAGATATTTGAATCAGAGTTATAGGACATTTAGGGAGAAGGATTAAGTCAAGTGGGGTGCATGCATACAATGAAAGAAGTCAAAAGAAATGAACTAGAACATCTATCTCAAAAATTTGTGTGTATTAAAAAAAAAAAACAACAGCAGAATGAGATATATGCCACAATATTATTTATATACGTGGAAAAATAACATAAACAAAGCAATAAACATGTTTTTCAAGGATTTATACATAGATAAATAAACAAACGGAAAATGGCATGGCAGGACATATGCTTAATGGTGGGTGTCCATGATGTAGGAACATAATGAAGTTTGGGGAAATTAGAGGAAAATAATAAGTAAAAAGTAAATTTAAATAAGTCATTTTCTTTTCATTTACTTTTTACTTATTATTTGTTAGACATTCACTAAGGTGTATGAGCTTCTAAATAAGTGCCTCTAAGGATAAAACAACAAAACTGTTGACCTGGGTTCATTATGCCTCTGACTGCCCTGCTGATTATTTTAGAAAACCTCTTTTACTGCCAAGGAAGTTCAGAGATAAAGCTTATCATGACATAACTGAAAATTTGCTTTGGTACAGAGAGAGAGAGATATAACCTCCTGATATAAAATAGCTTCCCTCACCCTACCATTGTCAGTCTCTATTCTCTTACACTGTTTTATTTTTTTCATAAAATGTAGAACTTTCATAAAATGTAGATTACACACACCTATGCATATGTATGTGTGCATAGGTGTGTGTGTGTGTGACAGAGAGAGAGAGAGATCTCCCCCATTAGAATACATGACCCAAAAAGCCAGGCCTTTCTCTGCATACTCACAATTGTGTCCCCCACCCAAAGGAGTGTTTTTCACAGAGTAGATGCTCAATAAATATTTATGATTTAATATTAAACTGAATCAGGAAGTTTCAACTCTTTTCCCAAAAGAAGGTTCCCCCACCCAAGTCCACATTATCAACACAAAAAGTTTGTGAAGAGGTAGAGTTGGGATGGGAGGGCAGCATCAAACATCGTGTGGCTGGCAAGTTGCTCACATGGTGGCTAATCATGACCCAAAGTATGCAAAGTAGAGGTAGGAAGAAGCATAGATTTATTGGCTTATTTGTGAATAAAGTTATAGAAGAGATTTATGTTAAACAGTAGGATCTTCTCTCCTAGCTGGCTCCGTAAACATGGAAAGAGTCAACCGAACCAGCAATATCTCTGAGTTCATCCTCCTGGGACTGTCCTCATGGCCTGAGGATCAGAAGCCACTCTTTGTCCTCTTCCTCACCATGTACTTCATCACCATAACAGGGAACCTGCTCATCATTCTGGCCATTCACTGTGACCCCCAGCTCCAGACCCCCATGTATTTCTTCTTGAGTTTCCTGTCTTTCACTGATATTTGCTTCACAACGACCATTGTTCCTAAAATGCTGGTGAACTTCTTGTCCAAAAAGAAGACCATCTCCTATGCTGGGTGTCTGACACAGATGTATTTTCTCTATGCTTTTGGCAACACTGACAGTTGCCTTCTGGCAGCCATGGCCATTGACCGCTATGTAGCCATCTGTGATCCCTTCCACTATGTTACCATCATGAGCCACCATCGCTGCTTCTTGCTGCTGGCCTTCTCCTGCTCATTTTCTCACCTTCACTCCCTCCTGCATACACTTCTGCTGAATCGCCTCACCTTCTGTGACTCCAATGTTATTCAGAACTTCCTCTGTGACATCAACCCTCTCCTGAAATTGTCTTGCTCATCCACACTTATCAATGATGTCACAATAAAGACAGAAGGAGTAGTTGTTTTGGTGACTCCCTTTCTATGCATTTCTTTCTCTTATGTAAGAATCCTCATTGCGATTCTCAAAACTCCCTCAGCTGCTGGAAAACGCAAAGCCTTCTCCACCTGTGGTTCTCACTTCACTGTGGTGACCCTCTTTTATGGAAGCATCTTCTATATCTACTTACAGCCCTTGTCTAGTTACACTGTCAGAGACCGGGTGGCAACAATCGGCTACACCATTTTATCCTCCATGCTAAACCCTTTTATCTACAGCCTGAGGAACAAAGACATGAAGATGGGTCTGAAGAAGCTGATGTGCAAGAGGAAATCCTAGCCATCACCTCTGTGGACATGTTCCTGATTGCTCTGCTCCTCTGGACTCTGTTTCTGCTGGTTCCTGATAAGCATAACAAACTTTTTGTAAGTCAGTAGGCATAATCCATATGTGTCATGGGTGTTGGGTTGTATCTATTTCTTTAGCCTTTCAACTGTCAACCATTCAGGCCTTACTATAGTTGAGAAATTGGCTTAAGGTCTACATAAATCTTGGCTTCCAGCTCTCATATATCCCCCTCTCTTCCATCCTTCTCTTCTTCAGGAAACTGTATCTATTTCACTCATTAGAAATGTTGTTGAGCACCTTTCTTTTCCACAAAATTTTCCAGAATTAATTTATACTTGTTCAATAACTTTGATCCCGTAGTATCCTTTTTATTTTAATGCACTACTATAATCAGTTTTTCGATATTTAACCGTTTGAAAGTCTTACAGTGATTTAGAATGAGAGAGAAAGAGAAAGGAAAGAAGAGGGAAGAAGAGAGGAGGGAAGGAATATTGAGACCTCCACCAAAGCAAGGAATATGTCCATCAGTGTATACAGGGGTTACGTTTCTTCCTTCCTCCATATCTTCAACAGCAGCATGTACTCAGCTTTGTAGTGAACAAAAACCCAACTGTTAGCCCTAATTAGCTAGTTGATGTAGCAACTCAGCACAGAACTGCCCCATGGTAAGACCAGTTCAGGGTGGTGGTGGGGGTCAGTTCCTTAAGGATCTCTACCCTGGTCATCTGTTATTTGTCCTTCAAAGGCACTCATTTCACTTGAGCTCCCTCCTAGCTGCAGGGATTCCTACCATCACTACCATTCAGCAGTCTGTGTGGTTTCCAGAGAAAGATTTATTGTATGTGCTTAGAATTATTTAAAGTCTCTTTTGAAGAGAGAATTAAAGCCCATATGTTCACATTGAAGGCAGATATAACCGGAAACCTCTGGAACCACATAGAGGTATACTGGGCTCCTCTGGGAAGTAAAGAGCTGGCCAAGACAACAGGCAAAGACTTCACTCTGTTACCTTTTGTTTTCATTCAATATTTTCTACTTTTCTCTCAGAGATTTTAGGTTTTACTATATTTTACATCTTAATACTGTTATCACTATTGTTCTCCTATCTTACTCCCATAGATATTACTCAGTAGGTCTCACGTGGAGCCAGAGAATCTGCACTTTAATAAGCATCCTAGCAGTCCTTGAACAACACCTAGAGAAAACTAACTTGGCCCTTATATGAGAAGTTGCATGCTTGAAAATCTCTGTTCATTCCTTATGTCTCAATGATTTATTTCCAGAATTCATGCCTATAATAATATTTCATTAAGTGTATACAGGAAGGCTTGGTGGTGCAGAGGTTAAGAGCTCGGCTACTAACCAAAGGTCAGCAGTTTGAATCCACTAGCCACTCCTTGGAAACCATTTGGGGCAGTTCTACTTTGTCCCATAGGGTCACTATGAGTCAGAAGCGACTTGACAGCAACAGGTAAGTGTATACAGTAATACGTACAGAGTCATTCATTGAAGCATTGTTTGTAACAGCAAAAAATTAGAAAAATTATACACAGCCTAAATACCCATCAATAGGGGAATGGATAAATGAATAATGATTCAATACTTCTATAGACTGGAACAATATGAAGTAGTTATAAATAATAGGTTAGATCTCTATCACTAACCTGAAAAGGCATTATAGATGAAAAATAAGTTGGAAAATAAAACATTTAAGAATAAATATATTAGTATAAAAAAGATACATAAGTGAATATACATGTGTATATTATAAATAGGTAAGAATATATGTATATAATCTCCAGAAAGAAAATCTCCCATTAAAAATGATTAATTCCTGGAAGTGAGAATGGAATAGGTAAGAAGAAGATAATATCTGCTTTTTACTTCATATGTATCTGTATTATTTGAACTTGTTAAAAAGAAAATAGATATTGTTTGTAGAATAAAACTGCCAATCATTAAGAAATACCTAAATATATATGGGGCACAACAGCCCAGGGACAAGGACTAGAAGGCAAGAGGGGACACTAAAGCTACTAATAGGAACCCAAGGTCAAGAAGGGAGAGTGTTAACATGTCATGGGGTTGTTAACCAATGTCATAAAACAATATGTGTACTAACTGTTTAATGAGAAACTTTTTGTTCTGTACACCTTTATCGAAAGTACAATAAAAAAAATTTTTTAAAACATAAATACAATCTGTTGATCATTGCCATTGAGTTTTGTCTAAACATTAATAATATCATTTTGTGGTAGGGAAGAGGTGATAAGAAAGAAGTCCCAAAAAACCAAAACAAACTCACTGCCGTCGAGTTGATTCCAACTCATAGCAACCCTACAGGACAGAGTAAAACTACCCCATAGGGTTTCCATGGACCGCCTGTTGGATTCAAACTGCCAACCTTTAGGTTAGCAGCCGTAGCTCTTAAACACTACGTCACCAGGGTCGGCCACCCAAACAGAGTCTCAATTCAATGACCAAAGTCTTACTCTGGGGAAGGACCAGATAAAGAGGAGCCACAGGTGAAGGGACACAGTCATAGGTCTGTGCCAGCCTGTCGTGCACAGTCCTGGGGAAAAGTAGAAAGATCAGGGTCTCCTCTTCCAAGGCCAACGTGGTAGTAGCAATAAAAGACCTCTATATGTTGTGTCAAGTCCTTTGATGGTACAAACAGTTAATGTGCTTGACTGCTAACTGAAAGGTTGGTGGTTTGAGTATACCCACAGATGCCTCAAAAGAAAGGCCTGATGACCTATTTCCAAAAAAAATCAACTATTGAAAACCCTGTGGATCATAGTTATACTCCGACACACATGGGATTGCCATGAGTTGGAGTCAGCTCAACAGCAACTGGGTTTTTTTAAATAGATTGTGTGGGAAGATAGATTGCTTACAAAAATGAAAGATTTAGATTAATCTAAAACTTTTCATTCAGAACTATGAGCCACCAGACTTACTGGTCTGACAGAGACTGGAGAAACCCAAGAGTATGGCCCCGGGACACACTTTCAGCTGAGTAATGAAGTCACTTCTGAGGTTCACCCTTTAGCCAAAGGTCAACAGGCCCATAAAACAAATGAGACTAAATGGGCACTCGAGCCCAGGGGAAAGGACGAGAAAGCAGGAGGGGACAGGAAAGCTTGTAGTAGGGAACCCAAGGTTGACAAGGGAAGAGTGTTTACATGTCGTGGGGTTGGCAACCAATGTCACAAAATATTATGTGTTCTAAGTGTTTAATGAGAAGCTAGTTTGTTCTGTAAACATTCATCTAAATTACAATAAAAAAAGAAAATTGTGATCCATTCATTTACTCAACAAATACTTGCAGAATGCCCACTCTGTACCACCCTTGTATGCTCTCGGAGATGAACCAGCTGTGAAAGCTTCTTTTTTGAAGTTTACATGCTAGCAGAAAGACACAGACACTAAACAATGGACAAAATAAATAGGTAAACTGTATAATAAGATAAAAGGAGATAAGTGCTACAAAAAATGTAGAACAAGGTATGGAAGATCAGAAGTATTGGGGGTAGAATGGGAATACAATTTTAAATAGAGCAATCAGAGAAGACCTCCTTGAAAATAAAACATTTAACAATATTGGAATATGGCGAGGGAGTTAATCATTGGAATATCAGAGAGAAGAGTTTTCCAGTCCCATGGAACAACCAGTACAAAGTACTGGTTAAAGTAGGGATGCACCTGGCAAATTCCTAGAGCAACAAGGAGGCCAAGGTGGCCAGAAAAGAGTCAGAGGAAGAGTAATTAGAGATGAATACAGAGGATAAAGGAGAACGAGATCACATAGGACCTTTTGGGCCATTGTAATAACTTGGCTTTTACTGGAAAAACTGGGCATGTATTGAATGGTTTTGAGCAGAGTATTGACATGATTAGAATTTAAGTTTAAAAAGGATTACTCTGCCTGCTATATTGAGAATATTCTTAGGTGACAAAGATATAGAAGCAGGGAGACAAGTTAGGAAGCTATTGCAGTATTTCAGGCAAGAGATGATGTTGGTAAAGACCAAGGTGGCAAAAGCAGAGGTAATGAGAAGCGGTCAAATTCTGAATGTATTTTGAGGAAGACTCAACGGAATTTCCTGATGGATTAAATGTGGAATGTGAGGGAAAAAGAATAGACAGGTACGTTTCTGATGTCTTTAGTTTATGCAACTACAGGGATGCAGTTTGGTCAACTGAGAGAAAGAATGCTACAGATGGAGGAGGTTTTGGGGGAAAAGATCAGAAGTTGAGGATAAACATGAGAAGTTTAGGATGTCAGTGAATACAATGAGGTAGCAATACTGAGTATGCAATTGCACATAAGAATTAGGAGAAAGATCAGAACCAAAGACAGAAATATAGGAGTTTATCAACATATAGGTGGCAGTTAAAGCCATGAGATTAGACGAGATCACATAATAGGCACTCAATAAATATTTACAGAAGAATGACTAGAAAAAAGGAAGGCCACATAAATAGTAAATGGAGGAGCCAGGACTCAAATCAAGGACTTTTGGTCTCTGTAGTACATACTTTTAATGAAAAAATTAAACTCAAGACTAAGGAAAAAAGACACATGTATTGTGTGAGGCAGTGGTTTCCATTGCAGGCAGCGGGCAACAGCAGAATGTGTTTGTATTTACTGTACGATGTTGTGGACGATGTTCACCGTAAAGTGCAATGGTCTCTGTATAAAAATCAAGTAGAAATTTTGTCTCTGGCTCTAGTGCCAGGAATCGTTGTTATTTTCATTTTTTAGATGAAGAAATTGAGGCCTATAGAAGTTAATTTGTTCAAAGCTACGAGTAAACGACAAGCCCAGCATTCTAATCTCCTTTCCTCAACACTAGCCCTCAGAGCACTGCTCCGAGCCTAAACTCTGAAAACACATTCATTATTTTTCTAATATAACTATATATATTCGTACATATATATAAATACATATATAAATGTATTCATAAAGATAACCTTTGCCTGACCCTGTGCTTAGAACACACACAAACTAACAATTTACTCCCACAAAGAAAAAGCTAATTTATATGCCTCCCCAGACACTGGAACACACATACACACCTTTAATCTACTGAATCCCCTGAAAACCATGACCCTCCCTCTCATATTGATTTATGTCCTACCCAGATCCACAGTATATCTCTGTCCACATCTCAATCCCCAAATTTAAAAACATTCGCCCACATAAACTTCTATCCGTTCTTGATGACCTATGGTTGGGGAAACTGAACAATGCCCTTGAGACGTTGCAGTGAGGTTAAGAGGCACTAAGAACATCTAGATGAGAAGCCTCAGAAGTCCCATGTCCCCTTGGAGTCAGCTCTGCTAGCTGTAATGCCCTTTCTTTTCTCTCCACTTGGTGAGCTCACAGAACAAACTCCTGGAGGAGTCAGCACATCACAACTTTCTCAGCCCATAGAAGGTCCCAGAGGCCAGGAGAGCAGAACTCAAACCTACAAGAAGCTGAGAGGGCTTCCACAATCAAAAGTATCCTCGCACATGAGTCAGAGCATCTCTGCCTTCTGCGATGTGGAGGTAGGAAGAGCAGGAGGATGGCGGGGCCAGAGTTTAGAAAAGAGACAGGCGTTTGAGATCATAGTGGGGAAGTGTGTTATTTTCAGTTGTTGTTTTTAGGTGCCGTAGAGTCAGTTTCGACTCATATCGACCCTATGTACGACAGAATGAAACACTGCCTGGTCCTGCGCCATCCTCACAATCATTGTTAGGCTTGAGCCCATTGTTGCAGCCACTGTCAATCTATCTCTTTGAGGGTTTTCCTCTTTTTTGATGACCCTCTGCTTCAGCAAACATGATGCCCTTCTCCATGGACTGGTCCCTCCTGATAATGTGACCAAAGTATGTATGTGAGGTGAAGTCTTGACATCCTCTCTTCTAATGAGCATTCTGGCTGTACTTCTTCCAAGACAAATTTGTTCATTCTTCTGGCAGTCCATGGTATCTTCAATAGTCTTCACCAACACCGTAATTCAAAGGCGTTAATTCTTCTTTGGTCTTCCTTATTCATTGTCCAGCTTTCAAATGCATATGAGGTGATTGAAAACACCATGGCTTGGGTCAGGTGCCCTTAGTCCTTGAAGTGATATTTTTGCTTTTTAACACTTTAAAGAGATGTTTTGCAGCGTAGCTTCCACCACCACGGCAAAACACAAGCCCCCACAGTATGAGAAACTGACAGACACATGGGGTTATTTCTCTAGAGCGATGTATTAATTCCTCCCTCCTTTCCTACTCCTCTCCTTACTGATCAGTCCAGAAGTTGAAAGGAGAAACATGAGGAAACCGAGCTAATACTGAGAAATAGACTTGGAATTAATTAGCAGATGTGCTCCAGAAGAAAGATCAGCTGCTGGAGAAACTGGAAATGAAAGAAAAGCTTCTGGATATGGAGGTGAGCTTCAGTAAGCTAGTCGGTTACCCACATGGCCATTTCAACCTGACTTGGCACTTACTCTTCCGTTCTAGGTAGTTTTAAATATATCCTGGATTAAGAATTCATACAGTCCAACTGGGAGTCCCTGGATGACACAAACAGTTAAGCACTCTAGGACTAGCCAAATGGTTGGAAGTTTCAATCCACCCAGAGGCACCTCGAAAGAAAGGCCTGGTGATCTACTTTCAAAAGACCACAAGCATTGAAACCTCTGTGGAGCACAGTTCTACTCTGAAATGCATGGTGTCTCCATGATTCAGAATGGGCTTGATGGCAACTGGTTTTACTGGTTCAGTTAGACTCCAAATCAAACCTCCATCTGGTTTTTCGTTTTAGGTCCATACAGCTTGACCTCTTGCCCAGGAATTGTTTTGGAGGAGACAAACCTTATCAGTAGAAAAGGGGAAAAAAATCTATTTCCAGGCTTTCCACTCACCCTATGCTTTTACAACTATTCTAACTGATTTTCATATCCAAAACCCACTTCCTTTTTCCCAGTCATCAGTGTGGGTGAACTCACATTAGTGACCTGGAGCACCCAACCTCACTTAATGGAACCCAAATCCCCACTAATTTTTTCTATTCTGCATTACCCAGGTAATCTTTTCACCATCAGCTTATTTTTGAATACTGATCTGTTTTTGATAAACTGCTTTTCAGACATGATATCTCACTTGCTCTTTATAAAGCACCAGGGAATCGACTTGTGAGCAGGTGATGCAGGACAAATCAAATCCCCATCTTCTGCCTCAAGTCCGGGACATTGTCTACCACACTACCTCAACTCTACACACTAGACATACCTCAGCCATGCATAGCCAATTTTTTCCACCTGATTGTTACCAGTAAATGATGAATATTCAAAATTTCAAAGTCCACCATCCACACAACACAAAGGAACAGGTGATTTTCAATTTAAGGATTGATTCCTAACATGGGAGAAAAAAAGCTCGTTATTCAAGGGGGAAAAATAAGTTCATGTGGTAAATTATCAAAGAGAAGTCCCTGTGCATCACTGTGATGGACAAAAATAATTATATCTTTACCAAAACACGAGGAGGTGTGGGCTTCAGAGTGAGTCAACTCAAGGTTCATATTCTGGTTGCTTTTCACCTTCTCAGTGACCTTACGCAAATCACTTCACCTTTCTAAACCTCAGTCTCCTAATATGTAACATGGCAGTAACAGAACATGTATTATAATCCTTAATGAGGTTTAGTGAGGTGCTTAGCATTGCCTTAAAAAGAGTAAGTTTTCAATAAATATTGGTTGTTACTATTGTTATAAACCTTAATAATTGACTCACTAAAATCCTTTAACAAATAAACAAATATTCCTTCTACAAAATCTTGAAAAGTCATGAAAGTAGTCTCACAATTAGGCAGTGAGGGATATGACTTCTAAAAATATGTGAATTAGTTAATTTGGAGAACATCCAGGAAGAGCAGATAAGGAAAGATGACAATGGAGATGATGGTGATCAACAATTCTGAGTTTTACAATATGCCTGCCTCTCTTCTAAGTACTGTACTTTAAATGCATTGTCTCATTAAATCCTCATGACAGGATATTAGTGGTACAAGAATCCTTATTACAGAAATTTTTGTGGTAGCAAGGAGTACAGGCCACTTTGATGTCATCACTAAGTATATTGGTTTCCTAGGTCTGCCATAACAATGTTTCACAAACTGGGTGGCTTTAAATAACAGGAATTTATTTTCTCACAGTTCTGGAGGCCAGAATTCTGAAATCAAGATGTCAGCAGGGTCAAGTTCCCTCCAAAGACTCTAGGGAGAACCTTCCTTGCCTCTTCCAGCTCTGGGTAGCTCCTGATATTCCTTGGCTTGTGATAGCATCACTCTAATCTCTGCCATCGTCTTTACATGGCCTTCTTCCCTCCTGTGTCTGTCTCTGTGTCCTCTCCTCTTCTTACAAGACACTGGTCATTGGATTTAGGGCACAGCCTAAATCCAGGATGAATTCCTCTTGAGATTCTTAACTAGTTACATCTTCAAAGACCTTATTTCCAAATAAGGTCACATTCTGAGGTTCTGGATGGATATGAATTTTGGAGGGACACTATTGAATCCATTATACTAGATAACTGGAAGTAACTGGAAAAATATATATATGCAAAAAATACATGTTTTCCATAGATGTTTTTGGATAAATACACAAAAGATGATTAGAAGAGCATAAATTGCATAGTCAACATTGGGTGGCCATCCTGTAAAAATACGAGTTAATATGGGGGATTAAAGAGGGGAAGACAACTTATGAAAGAGGGCACCTTGTGCAGATTGATAATGATAGCATGCCATGAGCTAAGGAGAATGAGCCTCTCATTCTGTGCTCTGGGGGCACGGGAGAATCACTATATAAACGGGATACAACATTCCTCTTAGGTTTACCCTGTTGTTTATTTTTACAAGCTCTTTTTTTTCCCCGAACATATAAACCTCAGTGTGATAGGACTGAACTTGCTTTGATATGGAAGACATGTCCTGCAATCTTCTTATTAAAATATTCCCACCCCCAGTCCCCATCAATCTCCATCCCCCGTACTCTTTATTTTGTTCATAAAATTGATCCCTACCTGATGTAATAAAATACATTTTATGTATTTGTTATCTATCTCCCGAACTATACCATAAACTCCAAAACGGCAGGGATTTTCCTGCTGAATCATTACGACCCCACAGGAAAACTGTGCTTTTCACAGAAAAGGTACTAATGAACCTGAATGAGAGATTTCCAACTCTGATGGTTTCTAAGTAAAACTCTTTTTCTCTTGCTCCACCTTTCAACACAAGGCCTTTCTGATGCTCATGGATTTTGGAAGGGAGGAAATCATCAAGGGCCATGAGGTTGACAAGTTGTCCCTCCATAAGGGTTAACTGTGACCACATGAAAGAAAGAAAGACTTGTTAGAGTCTCATGATTTAGGTTATGGAATCAGAGAATATTAAATAACAACACTTCTTCTACATAACTGGGCCCAAGTCAATGGAAAGAGTCAACCAAACCAGCACTGTCTCTGAGTTCATCCTCCTGGGACTGTCCTCACAGCCTGAGGACCAGAAGCCACTCTTTGTCTTCTTCCTCACCATGTACCTCATCACCATAATGGGGAACCTGCTCATCATTCTGGCCATCCACTCTGACCCCCAGCTCCAGACCCCCATGTATTTCTTCTTGAGTTTCCTGTCTTTCACCGACATTTGCTTCACAACAGCCATTGTTCCCAAGATGCTGGTGAACTTCTTGTCTGAGAAAAAGACCATCTCCTATGCTGGGTGTCTGACACAGATGTATTTTTTCTACGCTTTGGGCAACTCTGATAGTTGCATCTTGGCAGCCATGGCCTTTGACCGCTATGTGGCCATCTGTGATCCCTTCCACTATGTCACCACCATGAAACCTCGCCACTGTGTCCTGCTGCTGGCCTTCTCCTGTTCCATCTCTCACCTCCATTCACTCCTGCACATTCTGCTGCTGAATCTTCTCACCTTCTGTGATTCCAATGTTATCCATCACTTTCTCTGTGATATCAACCCTTTGCTGAAATTGTCCTGCACCTCCACATTTGTTAATGAAATTATGATAAAAACAGAAGGACTGGTTATTTCGGTGACTCCCTTTTTATGCATTTCCTTCTCTTATATAAGAATCCTCATCACGATTATCAACATTCCCTCAGCTGCAGGAAAACACAAAGCTTTCTCCACCTGTGGTTCTCACCTCACTGTGGTAACCCTCTTTTATGGAAGCATCTTCTATGTCTATTTACAGCCCTTGTCCAGCTACACTGTCACGGACCGAGTGGCAACAATTGTCTACACAGTTTTATCCTCCATGCTAAACCCTTTTATCTACAGCCTGAGAAACAAAGACCTGAAACAGGGCCTAAAGAAGCTGATGGGCGGGATGAGATCTTAGCCAGCTTCCTCTTGACAAACCCAGGAGTGGGATCTGCTTCACTTGGATCTGGTTGTTACTGGTACTTGGTGTATATGCCAACCTGTTGGAGATTTGCATGTTTAATCCACATGAAGCAAGGCCCAGAAATCGGCCCTGCATCTGCTAAAATTTTTACATTCTTTCTCACTTCTCCTCCTCTTTCTCTTCTTCCAAATACTGCTATAAACTAATCCTTTTTCCACAAGCATTTCCTGAACAAAGTTCTCTGTTTATTAAGACTGATCCTTTAAAATTCTTCACATTTCAGTATATTAATGAAAACAGTTACTCAGTTGGTAGCTCTTTGAATGTCTTTTCAAACATTTGAAAGGAGAGAAGAATGGAGGGAGGTAAAAAAGAGGAGAGAAGGGAGGAGGAAGAGGATGAGAGAATTAGTTTGTCTTTCCCAGAGCCCTAGAGATGTCCCTGGCAGGAGGTAGTGTCTCTTTTCCATCAGCCTGGGCAGGACCATGTCTCCTCCTTCCTTTGTACTGCCCATTATATCTTGTTCTGGGCCTTGTAGCAAGCAACAGCTCAAAAGTAAACGCCAATGAGCTGAATGACTTAGTAATTCAGCTCTCAGCTATCCAGATGACTTCTGTATCTCTGCTCTGGTTATCTGGTATTTGTTCCTCATAGGCATGCTTTTATTTCTCTAAAACTTCCTTTTGAGAGCAATTTTCTATGGAGATGTCTTTACTCTAACCATAACAATTCCTCAGCACACTGCTTTCCAACTAAGATGTATTGTGTGTACTTAAATTTATATTCAGTGCCTTAAAGTTGGGTGGCTAGAATTTGAAGGGAAACAATATTTGAAGGGAAACAATTCCTGGTTCAGAACTGTAAGGAGAAATCAGTAGGCAACAGAGTCACCCAGAGACCCAGTGGACGTTTCCGGGAAGTAAAGCATGTTACGCCCTCGAGGCAGGAACTCTGGTCTGATCTGGTTTGTTGCTTTTATTTTCTTTTTTATCATGTTATACTTCTGTAGTTTATTATTTGTTATTTTAGCTACTTTTTTCATAACGAAGATGTCTATAGTTCTTTAACTTTTCTCTTTCTAAAAATGTTTTCTTGTTTATTAGTTGTGACATAATTTTCCTGGTTTCTTTTAGTTCTTTGTCCATGGTTTCTTTCTGCTCTTTAAGCATATTTGAGACAGTCAGTTTAAAGTTTTTATCTAGTAAGTCCCATGTCTGTGCTTTCTGTGAGACAGTTTGTGTTAATTTCTTTTTTCCTGTGAATGGGTCATACTTTTTTCTTTGCAGGCTTCATAATGTTTTGGTGGAAAATTGGACTTTTTTAATATTATAAAGTGCTAACTCTGGAAATCAGATTCTTCCCCACCCCACCCCCAACCTTGGTTTGTTGTTTCTTGCTTAGATTATAGTTACCTATTTGTTTATTGACTCATTAACTATTTTTTTAAAGACTGAATTCTTCATCCTGTTTGGTCTTTGAGGCCTCTATGCCTTTAGCTTATGGTCAGCTAGCAGTCTGACAGAGATTTACTTAAATGCCTGGAGCCAAAAAAAAAAAAAATACTAAGTCTTTGCAGATTGGCTCTGTGTTGGGGCACTCCTTCAACACAGCCAGTCCATTTGCAACTCTGCCTTAGACTTCAATTCCTGCTTACACTGAGCCTAAAAAGATCAGTCAGAGGTGAAAGCTTAAGGTCTTCTAAAATCCTTTTTGAGCATACATCCTGCCCTGGGCATGCAGTGGCTTTCCAGAGTCTCTGTTATATGCTGAAGCCTTTCAAAGTCCTTATTCACCAAAGTAACTCCCTTCCCAGATTTTCCTCCCAGGCTTTGAGCATGTCTATTGTTTGCCCAATTGTAATCTTTTCCCCAGGTGGCCACGACATGTTCATTTGCCTTTCGATGTTTTGGAGAAACACTCTCCACTTTGTCCCTTTTCCTACCTGAGAAACTTTAGATTTAGGTGAACCTAAGGACAGCTCTTTGTTTCAGTCTTTCATGGAATCCTCAGATAGGTCAAAAAAGACAAACACAATTGTTGGGGAATGAGGTTTATTCTCCTCCCTCCACAACCATGTACCCACATCAGGAACACAGACTAACATCTTCCAGACCACCACTGCACCAGGGAAGGGAGTGGAACAAGGTTAACTTTAAACACCACTTAGCTCTCCTACTGTCACTTTTTCCTTTAAGTCAACTTTTTCTTGATTTGGCATTTCCTTGGTTGCTATAAACCTTTGACTATTTTCCGGAGTTCTAGAGTTGATTCTGATAGTTTTTGCTTAGGTTTTTCTTTTCATTTTACATGTAAAAACTATTAAGTTGGTAAATGCTGTGTTATATATTTTTTACCACAACAAATTTTTTATTAAAAAGGAAGCAAACAAAAAAAGTTAAATGTAGAAGTATTATATGACCTGTCATGGTTTGAATTATGTCCCCCCAAAAATGTGTATATCAGTTTGTCTGGGCCGTGATTCCTGGTACTGTGTGATTTTCCTATATGTTGTAAATCCTGCCTCTATGATGTTAATGAGGGAGGATGGGTGGCAGTTGTGTTAGTAAGGCAGGACTGGATCTACAAGAC